TCAGTACACATGGCCTTGCCAGGAACCATATTGACGATGGCAGCATCACCAGATTTCAAACACTTAGGGCCCTCTTCCAGCTTCTTCCCAGAACGACAATCAATCTTTTCAGCTCAGAAAATTTGCAGCCAATATGAGCCGTGTGACAATCCAGCACAGGTGCACATCCAGCACTGAGTTGGCCTGTAGGCTTTAGGTCCTAAAGTTCAGAATAATCACCTAAGCTGTGAAGCCAGCTGCTTCCATTGGTGGGTCATTTTTGCTGTCACCAGCCACACTGCCACGACAAACATCTTTGACAGACACGTTATTGACATTGAAGCCCACATTGTCCCCCGGAAGAGCTTCACTCACAGCTTCATGCTGCATTTCAACAGAATTTACTTCAGTTGTAATGTTTACTAGAGAAAGGTGACCACCATGCCAGGTTTGAGAACACCAGTCTCCCCTCAGCCCACAGGGACAGTATCAACATCACTGATTTTGTAGACATCCTGGAGGGGCAGACACAGGGGCTTGTCAGTTGGACGAGTTGGTGGTAGAAAGCAACTCAAGCAGCGTGGTTCCACTGACATTGCCATCTTTACGGGTGGCTTTCCATCCAAGGCATGCTAGCACTTGGCTCTAGCATGTTCTCATCATTCCAACCAGAAGTTGGCATGAATGCTACTGTGTTAGGGTCACGGACAATTTTCTTAATGTAGGTGCTGAATTCTTTACAATTTCCTTGTATCTCTTCTGGCTATAGGGCAGCTCAGTGGAATCAATTTTGTTAACACCAACAATCAGTTGTTTCACACTCAGTTTGTAGGTCAGAAGGTCATGCTCATGGGTTTGTTCATTCTTGGAGATATAAATAAATGTGAGAAAATTAAAAAAAAAAGATTTTTTGGACATTCCAAAATGAGCCTATATAGGAAAACAAGGGGAAATAAAGGTCAAAATATGGTAAATTGAATATGTTATTTAGAACTCTTGGTTGCATTGACAGAAAAATAAATAAAATTGACTTAAGCAAACATCAGAATGTATTATAAATATACTGGATATCTCATAGCAACCAAGAAATGAGTCAGGAATGGTCAGAATCTAGGGACTGAAAACCATCAGGATCCTCTGGGTGATCTGTTAGAAGTCCATTTCTGGACCAACCAAGACAGCCAGTTTGGTCAATGTAGCATGACTGCTCCCAGATGACTATATATTGTATATGTATAGAGTAGGGAGGGTAGAGCAAGAAGAGGGTAACTTATTCAGAAGAAGTAAAAGGGTATTAAAAAAACACACACAGAGATGTCCATCTTATTGAAAAAAATAAAGTGAAGAAGCAAGACAACAAAAATGGCTTGTTGAGTTTCTTGAATATTTAGAAATAACTGAAATCAGTTTCAAGGATCAAATATTCTCCTTCATTTTAAGGAAAAACTCCTTTATTCAGGGACCTCATTTGAAAGTTATAGCAACAAATGACAACATGTAGAATACTTGGTCTATTGTACAATGCTGAATTACAAATATTCATTGTGTACAGCGTACTTCTCTAGATTTTGAAATGGGGAGAGGCAGTAGTAAAGATGAACAGGTCTCTCTCTCAAGGACTTCATTCTTTAATAATCTGTAGAAGGTAAAGCAAGCTATATTGATTAGGTCAACTTAATATATTTAACTGAATGTTTGTTAAAAAGCATGTCCTCACCTTCCATTATTTCCTCTGAAAAAGAATTGGTGATCTGTTTTTAGAAAAACATTATGTCCTATATAATGCATCACCACAATTTGTGGTCTGAACTACAACTGCAGTCTGACAGACTTATTCAGGTACAGCTTACAAACAGCTCACAAAACTACCACCTGGCTTTAGCTGAAGGTTTTCATTTGAACAAATTTTCTGTCTCTCTTTGTTCCTCACTTCCCTTTTGGAAAAAAAAAACCCCAAAAAACAAACAAACAAAAAAAAAAACACTAACAAACAGAGAAGAAAGGGGGAGGTAGCTTATTTCTTATAAGTTATGTAAGTAAACTTACATTTGTTATTATGGTCATCATTACCATTAAGCCTGTTTTTTTTGTTTTGTTTTGTTTTTTAAAGACTGAGAGGCTGAGTGAAAAAAAGGGATTAGTGAGAGAGGAGATTTGGAAAGAGGTTCCAGCAGGTGGCGCTTGTCTCCTCCAAGATTAGACTTTCACTCCGCCTAGAATCCGGCAGGAACAAGTGCAACTATGCACACAGTCAATGCAAGTGACAAAAATCATGCCATCCTTAGTGCAGAGTCCATGAAGTCACAGTTCCAGACTTCTGCTTGGACCATCATCTTTCTGCATCACCACTTAAAAGACAGGCTCCCCTACTCCCTGGGTTGTATATTTTCTACTTGACCCACATCTTCATTTCCCCTAGCCAAGTAATTTACAACGAAAGTCAAGCTTTGGGTATGGAGCACAAATAAAGGCCCCAGAGCAGTGACTTTTCAACCATTTTCATCTCATGGCACATAAACTAATTATAAAATTCTGTGGCACACCAAAAATATATATTTTTTGCCAATCTGACAAAAAATAGGTATAATTTTGATTCATTCATAACAGACAGTTATTCTTATGCTGGCTGTTGTAATTTTAAAAATTTTATTGATAATATAAGGGAAAAGAGGTCAGTGCCTCTGACTAATCAGGTATTGCACGTTTTAAAACTTCTTAGGGCACAACAGTTAAAAATCACTGCCCTAGAGGCCTAGTCTCCAAAGTTGGTAGGAAACTCATACATCCTAACAAAAGGAAGATAAATAATCCAATCAAAAACAGGCAAAGAACTTAAATAGACACTTTTTGAAAGTGGACATACAGAAGGCCAAGAAACATATGAAAACATGCTCAAAGTCACTAATCATCCCAGAAATGCAAATCAAAACAACAATGAGGTGCCATTTCACACCTGTCAGAATGGCTATCATCAACAAATTGACAAACAACATGTGCTGGCGAGGATGCAGAGAAAAAGGAACCCTCGTGCACTGCTGGTGGGAATGCAGACTGGTGCAGCCACTGTGGAGAACAGTATGGAGTTTCCTCAAAAAAAGTTAAAAATGGAACTGCCATTTGACCCAGTAATACCACTTCTAGGAATATACCCCAAGAAATCATAAACTCCAATCAGAAAGGACATATGAACCCCTATGTTCATAGCAGCACAATTTACAATGGCCAAGATTTGGAAATAGCCAAAGTGCCCATCAGCAGATGAGTGGATTAAAAACCTGTAGTACATCTACACAATGAAATACTATGCAGCTGTAAAAAAGAAAGAACTCTTATCACTTGCAACAGTATGGATGGACTTAGAGAGCATTATGCTAAGTGAAATAAGCCAGTCAGAGAAATATAAATATCACATGATCTCACTCATTTGTGGAATATAATGAACAACATAAACTTGTGAACAAAAATAGATCGAGACAGAGAAGCATTGAACAGACTGCCAAACTTCAGAGGGAAGGCGGGGTTGGGTGGGGTGGTGGTGGTGGTGGTGGTGGTAAGAGATCAATCAAGGGACTTGCATGCATGCATATAAGCATAACCAATGGAACCAGACACTAGGGGGATGGGGTTGGCTGGGGAGAGGTCAATGGGGGTTGGGGGGAAAACATATGTAACACTATATGTAATACTTTAAACAATAAAGAATTAAAGCAATATTAATAATAAACGAATAAATGATTACAAGGCAAAAATAAATAAATAAAAATAAAAATCACTGCCCTAAGGAGTTGGAGCTGAAACTTGATCAACTTTCTAGCTGGTCTGTGTGTGCCAGCCTTGATCTGAGCAAACGTGAATTTATTTGCAAGCAGACATGTCAGTTTCCATGCTCCACAGATCAAGGAAAAGGAGACGCAGGAGAACATTAATGTATCTGTGCAAAGACGCAACCTGTCGCTGTGTTATTGGCTTGCTGGGATCACTGGCTCTCTAACCTCTCCCTGCACCTTCCAATTCTGGGGCTCAGTCAGCCATAGGCAGCTGTTCTCCCTCATGTAATAATGTATCCACCATAAAAACTGCCCTCATTTTGAAAGTCTTTCGTTACTGGGTCTGCAGTTTTCTATCATCACTCAGGAAACCTGTCCTCCCTGCAGGGATGGGGAATGTCTGGGGGAGGGGGAGGGGAGGAGAGTAGGCCGGTGAAATCATTTGGCCTGGCTCTGCCAAGACATTAGGGATAAGTTCATTAAATGTTTGACCAAATATAGCAGACTAATTTTTAGGTTGATAATTTTGTACGGCCCCGAGTCATGTTATAAATATCTAATGGCCCTTGGCACAAAAAAAGGTTCCCTACCCCTGGTGGGGCCTGGGAGTATACAGGCAGGAGGGCAATCTGGAATTCAGATCCACTTCTAAGTGTCTGGGTTACCTTATACAAATTTCTTAATTTCCTCTGTAGATTGGGGGGAGAGGAGGAGAAACACACATTTTTCTTCTGTTCCTGGGGCACCTGAATTAATGAGATGTAGACCGCCTAGACCAGAGCCTGGCTCATTGTAGAACTCAAATGCCAGGGGTTGCCTGTTGGCCTAACAGCGCCGTGGAAAACGGTCTCCGGATGGACTCTGGGTCAAAGAGCCGGAATAATTCGCACAACTCAGATAACCTCCCAGCTCCCCGTGACCTCACTGTATTTCAATGCACATTCATTGCCGGTCCCGGTCCTCTCAGACCTCTAAAATCTTTTGTCCCCTATCCCGACACTGCCGCCGGGCGGCAAAAAGAAAGCCAGAGGAGTTGGGGTCTAACCGACAATGACAATGACCTGCACAGGCGCTCACTCTCCTCCGGCCCGGGACTGCGGGGCGGGAGCAGCGGGGCCGGGGCCGCCGGTGGGAAGTCTCGGGCCGCGCTGACAGCTCGGGCGGGGGAGGGAGCAGCGGGAGGCGGGAGGGCGCGGGGGGCGGAGACACATGCGCGCCGCCGCCGCCGCCGCCGCCCCGGGACAGGAACCGCCGGGCCGCCGCCGCCGCTCCGTCCGCCCGGCTCTGCGCCCGCCGCGCCGCCTCCCGCGCCCCGGCTCCCGGCGCGGACCCCGCGGGGACTCGGCACCGGCGCCTCCCGTCTCGGGGCGAAGCCTCGACCCCCCGCTGAGCGGCGAGCGGGTGGGGGCGGGGGCCGTGTGAAGATGGCGACGCCGGGAAGCGAACCCCAACCTTTCGTCCCTGCCCTCTCGGCGTCTACTCTGCACCCCCACCCCCACCCCCACCACCCCCACCACCACCCCCACCACCCCCACCACCCCCACCACCAGCACCTCGGAGGGCCCGGGGCCGGCGGCGGGGCTGCGGGCGGCTGCGGCTTCAACCTGCCCTTGGCCCGGGGGCTGGAGCGCGCGCTGGAGGAAGCCGCGCACTCGGGGGGCCTGAACCTCAGCGCCCGGAAACTGAAGGAGTTCCCCCGGACCGCGGCGCCCGGGCACGACCTCTCGGACACGGTGCGGGCAGGTGAGCGAGGCCGGGGGCGGCCGGCGGGTGGGTGCCGCCTGCTGTCATGCCTCCCGGACCGGCGCCGATGGAGCTGCCGCCTGGCCGGGGTCCGCGCCCGGGCTCCTCCGAGGAGGGGCGCGGGGACCCCGCCCCGCCCGGCGGCGGGCGGAGCACCCGGGGGAGCCGGCTTGCGTTTTGGTCGCCGGCTTCCCCACCGGGGCGGCCGCGCCTGGGCCGTGGTCGCCAGGCTGGGGAGGCGCAGCGGGGGTGGGGGGGCTCGGCGCTGGGACCGGGAGCCCGAGCGCCGCGTCCGCGCCGGGGAGCCGGGCGAGCCCTGCGGGCGGGGAGGCGTCGCCCTCCCGGCGGGGAAGCCCAGACAAAGGTGGCCGCCCTCCGCCGACCCGCGGACGTCGCGCGGTGCCGCGGGCCCTCGGGCCGGGCCGCCGGGTGCTGCGGGCGGCGGCGCCCGGCTTCCTCTTCCTGCGGACTCGCCGACGGAGCCGCCGCGATTGCGGTGAATCCGAGTCCGCGGTCCCCGCGCGGGGGTCGGCTCTGATTCCGGCCCTCAGCGAGCCGCCCGCGGTGCGGCTCCCACCGCCCGAGCCACCTCGGTTTCTGTAACGCGATCTTCGCTGCAGAGCATATTAAAAGAAAAGTAATTAAAGCGAGCCTGTTTTCCTGTGTGAGCCAGGCAAGTTATAACTCGCGCCAATGAGCAGCCAGCTTTTTCAAGTTATGTCATGTGTTGACATATTTCTGAGACCTCTGCTTTCTCTTTGGTCGTCGGAGTTCCTTGGCTGGGATCTATAAACAGGAATGGGGCGGTGAACGCGACTGGGGCCTTGGGATCCCCACAGAACTGACTTGGTTTCCTACCATCCGGCTCAGCTCCCTGCGGGAGTGTTTCCATCTTGGCAAGCGCCCAGCCCACCAGTTCCCAGTGCCCATTCGGGAACCGCTGCCCAGACCTGGCTGTCATCACCTCTGAGCCCAGGGTTAGGACCCCTGGGTTCAGGAGGGACTCTCAGCTCCAGATCTCCCGTTTCCTCTTGTGGGGAAAGCGGTTCCTTCAGGCAAACAAGCACTGGGCTTTTGGAGCTAGGTTTCCAATGCCCTTTTTTCTCCCTTTAATTCAATAAACATCTGTGGAGAGTCCCAGTGAATAGTCAGACAGAATTCTGAGCTCAGTGGAGGCAAACAGGGCTCTTCAGGGTCATTAAACTTTGTAATTTGGATTTAGGGACAGTCGGGAATAGGCAAAAAAGGAGGGAATTTCCAGAGTTGAGCTGTCAACAGCTGGGGAGTCTCTTGATAGGATCTCTTAGTTACATTTTCTCAAGTGGAAGTTATTCCAAGAATTGCCTGAATCATTAACTTGAAAAAAATCTGTTAAGTTCTACTTTTTGCCATAGAGTGTACATGAACTATGGAAGGGTTAATTATGACTGCAGAAAATGGAGCTGGCATGACCAATAATAATAAGCATGTGCTTGTACCTTCAGTAGGGGGTTTGAAAGTTGTTCCTCTACTTCAGTTATGCTGCCGTTTATTTCCAAAGTAGGGTAAACTGTTGTGTTGGCATTTCTTTGAGAAAACCTATGCTTTTAAAAGGAGGGACAACATCTTTACATTAAGAACTGGCTATGTGTGGTAAATGCTTACAAATATTCCTGTATTTCTTTTTTGCTTGCTTGTGGTGAACTTAGGTTGTGAGTTTTACAAGTTTTTAATTGTGAACCTCATTTGCATGTTTCAAACCTCAGAAAATTCTAATGAGTTAAACTAAGAGGCTTCATGGTAACTCACATAAAAAATTCAATATTAATAATAGTAGTTTGTAGAAATTTACCACAATCCAATAAAGATTAAGAATATTTATATGTGGCCAAAACCGGTTTGGCTCAATGGATAGAGCGTCGGCTTGGGGACTGAGAGGTCCCGGGTTCGGTTCCGGTCAAGGGCATGTACCTGGGTTGCGGGCATATCCCCAGTAGGGGGTGTGCAAGAGGCAGCTGATCGATGACTCTCTCTCATTGATGTTTCTAACTCTCTGTCTCTCTCCCTTCCTCTCTGTACAAAATTAATAAAGATATATTAAAAAAAGAATATTTATATGTAAATATCTGAACATGTTAAAGATTTGCTTCTGCAAAATATCTTTGCCTCAGGTCTACAGCTGGGTGTAAACCAAATATGTAGTAATATATATATATATATATATATATATATATATATGCCATATATGTACACGTATATATTACTTTCTATTTCTCAAAGTATTATTATTATTTTAAAATATGTTTTTATTGACTTCCTTAGAGAGGAAGGGAGAGGGAGAGATGGAAACATCAATGACGAGAGAGAATCATTGATTGGCTACCTCCTGCACACCCCCTACTGGGGATTGAGCCTGCAACCCAGGCATGGACCCTTGACCAGAATCAAACCTGGGACCCTTCAGTCCACAGTCTGATGCCCTATCCACTGAGCCAAACCAGCTAGGGCACATGTGTCAAACACAAGGCCCTCGGGCCAAATCCGTCCCGCCAGGCCTTGCAATGTGGCCCGCACCGCGCTGTCATCACTGCACTCCGCTGCGTTTCCATCACAATGACAGTTTATGACTGTTCAGTAAACCATTTGGCCCGCGATTTAGGCTGGATTTTAGATTTTGGCCCCTTCTCTGATTGAGTTCGACACCCCTAAGCTAGGGCAACACTTGGTATCATTTTATATTAGTTTCAGGTGTACAGCATCGTGGTTAGACATTTACATAATCTATAAAGTCTAGTACCCACCTGGCACCATACGCAGTTATTACAATGTTCTTGGCTATATTTCCTATGCAGTACTTTACATCTCTGTGACTGTTTTGTAATTACCAATTTGTACTTCTTAATCCCTTCACCCTTGTCACCTAAACCAAAACCCCCCTCCCATCTGGCAACCATCAGTTTGTTCTCAGTATCTGAGGCTGTTTTTGTTTTGTGTATTATATTCTTTAGATTCTATATATATAAGTGAAGTCACATGTGTTTCTCTGTCTGACTTATTTCACTTAGCATTATATCCTCTAGCTCAGTCTCACAAATGGTCAGATTTCATTCCTTTTTATGGCTGAGTAAAATTCATTTGTATCAATATATGTGTACCATATCTTCTTTATCTAATCATCTGTTGCACCCTATGAGCACTTTGGTTTGCTAATGTAAATAATGCTGCAATGAACATAATGCACATACTTCTTTTAAAATTAGTGTTTTGGTATTATGGGATGCCTTTTATTTTTTATTTTTTATTGTCTGATTGCTGTGACTAGGACTTCCAATACTATGTTGAATAAAAATGGTGAAAGTGGACATCCTTTTCTTGTTCCTGATCTTAAGGTAAAAGCTTTTAGCTTTTCCTGCTGAGTATCATGTTAACTGTGGGTTTGTTATATCGTACTATATGGTCTTTTTTTGTCCCCACTTGGCTGAGAGTCTTTATCATAAATGAATACTGGATTTTGTCAAATGCTTTTTCTGTTTCTATTAATATAATCATGTGCTTTTTATCTTTCATTTTGTTTAGGGGGAGTATACGTTAATTGATTTGTAGATATTGAACCAAACTTGCATCCCATGAATAAATCTCACATAATCATGATGTATGATCTTTTAAATATATTGCTGAATTTGGTTTGCTAATATTTTGTTGAGGATTTTATAATCTACACCAGGGATATTGGCCTATAATTTTCTTTTTTTGTAATATTAGAGGCCCGGTATATGAATTTATGCAACAGTGGGGTTCCTCGGCCTGGCCTGTGGGATTGGGCTGAAACCGCTCTCTGACATCCCCTGAGGGGTCCCAGATTGTGAGAAGGCACAGGCCAGGCCGAGGGACCCCACCCATGCATGATCAGGTTGGGGAGGGACCATGAAGCACTCCAGGGTGGGTCCGGCCCATGTCGCTCAGTCCCGATGCACCAGACCCCAGCAACTCCTACCGTTCAGAGTGTCTGCCCTCTGGTGGTCAGTACATGTCATAGTGAGCGGTTGAGGGGCCTTAGCATATCATTAGCATATACACTTTGGTTGAACAGCCAACCAGATGATCGGACACTTATCATATGAAGCTTTTATTATATAGGATCTTTGTATGATTTTGGAATCAGGGTAATGGTGACCTCATAAGATGATTTTGGGAGCCTTCCCTTCACTTGAATTGTTTTTGAGTAGTTTGAGAAGGATAGATGTTAACTCATCTTTGAGGTTTGGTAAATTTCACCTGTGAAGGCATCTGGTCCAGGACTTTAGTTTGTTGGGAGTTTTTTTTTATTACTGATTTGATTTCTTTGATAGTCATCAGTCTGTTCAGATTTTCCGTTTCTTCTTGATTCAGTCTTGGAAGATTGTTTGTTTTGAGGAATTTACTCATTTCTTCCACATTGTCCAATTTATTGATACATACTTACAATATTTGTATTTTTTCTTATAATCCTTTGTATTTCTCTGGTGTCAATTATTTACCTCCTTAATTTCTGATTTATTTGAGACATCTTTTTTTTTTTTTTGATGAGTCTGAAAACCAAATGTATTCTATTCTGTCCTTTGTTCTAAAGACCTTTACTGAGCACTTTTCCTTATTTGGAAGAACAAAAATCAAAATAAAGCAAGAGTTAAAATTACCTTCAGTTTGCACTGTGTGAATGGATAGTATGAGTAGTAGCATATATAATAAAGATAGTGGTTCCTCCTAGATTAATATTTAGTCTACAAAATATCTTTTAAAATCAGAATGGCATATGAAGGTCCTTAAAGACCTAAGATTAAAGAGTACTTTTTGAAAAATTTTATAAGATAGGAATGACATAGAAATATTTTCCTCACTGTCCAGTTGTACAATGCAGGCCATTTGGTTTCTACCTTGTAAAAGTACCTCTTCTGGCAGCCACCTATGCAGAGTACAGCTCTCTGCTCTCTTGGACCATGCAGCTCATCTGAATAGAAGATGTAAACACAGCAACATAGAGG